TGTTTTTGGAGTCATTTGCCAAATAAGGGCGTTTGGTGAAAACAAGACACTTCAGACCACAGAGGTTTGAAGTGTCTTCTTTCTGTAACAGCAGCAGTGGAAATGGAAAGTGAAACTACTGCAGTGGTTTGGTTTGGACCAAGGAGTAGAATCCTCCTCCGTTAGCAAAGCACACGTAGCATTAGCATTAGCATTAGCCATTGTTGTTTACGTTCTACTGCGTCCAAATGTACGAAGTGCTGAGGTCGTCTCTGTTCTGTTTCACTCTGGAGCCTGTTCAACGTTTACACCTGAAACACCGTCTCCATGGAAACGAAAGGACACGATATAAACTCTGACCTTTCACTGTCGCAGCGTCTCCATGGAAACGAAAGGACACTTTAAGAGTCACGTCATCATGTGTCTATTTTATAGAACTTTATTTGATTTTTGTAAAAGAACAAACATACAGAAAACAACAAAAATGTGTGGAGAGATACATATTTTAAGGGATACAAAAGATAATGCGTGTGCGTGTTTGTGTGTATGTTTGCGTGTATATGTGTGTGTGTGTGTGTGTCTGTGTGTGTAAACTTCTAAAGGTTTCAAAAATCAACAGTTTTTTTTTTTTTGGTACAATCCCCTCAAATCGTGAAAAGACCAGAGCAACGGCCTTTTAGAAACGAAAACCCCCCCAGCGCTTCTCCCTCGATGACGTCACTGTGGGCACCCGTGTGACCCGGAAGTACATGTCCTCCATACTGCCGGGTCACTGCGAGCACCCGTGTGACCCGGAAGTACATGTCCTCCATACTGCCGCGTGTTTACAGGTTGTTCGTCTGTTTTCACCATAGACTGTATATTTTTACACTGAATCTGTGGATATTCAAGATGACAAGAAGATGTGTTGCAACGCACTGCTCACAGACACACAATAAACCTCAGACCGAAGGAGAAGAGGAGGAAGAGGAGGAGGAGGAAGACTGCACATGTGTTGGATGGACTTGACCGCAGCCTCCGCGAGAACGGCCAACGAACTTCAGAGCTGCAGAAGAACCCTCTGTTTTGTCCATAACAGGAGACTTCAGGTCCAGTAGAACCACTGCAGGAGACTTCAGGTCCAGTAGAACCGCTGCAGGAGACTTCAGGTCCAGTAGAACCGCTGCAGGAGACTTCAGGTCCAGTAGAACCGCTGCAGGAGACTTCAGGTCCAGTAGAACCACTGCAGGAGACTTCAGGTCCAGTAGAACCACTGCAGGAGACTTTAGCTCCAGTAGAACCACTGCAGGAGACTTCAGGTCCAGTAGAACCGCTGCAGGAGACTTCAGGTCCAGTAGAACCGCTGCAGGAGACTTCAGGTCCAGTAGAACCGCTGCAGGAGACTTCAGGTCCAGTAGAACCGCTGCAGGAGACTTTAGCTCCAGTAGAACCACTGCAGGAGACTTCAGGTCCAGTAGAACCGCTGCAGGAGACTTCAGGTCCAGTAGAACCACTGCAGGAGACTTTAGCTCCAGTAGAACCACTGCAGGAGACTTCAGGTCCAGTAGAACCGCTGCAGGAGACTTCAGGTCCAGTAGAACCGCTGCAGGAGACTTCAGGTCCAGTAGAACCACTGCAGGAGACTTTAGCTCCAGTAGAACCGCTGCAGGAGACTTCAGGTCCAGTAGAACCGCTGCAGGAGACTTCAGGTCCAGTAGAACCGCTGCAGGAGACTTCAGGTCCAGTAGAACCGCTGCAGGAGACTTCAGGTCCAGTAGAACCGCTGCAGGAGACTTCAGGTCCAGTAGAACCGCTGCAGGAGACTTCAGGTCCAGTAGAACCGCTGCAGGAGACTTCAGGTCCAGTAGAACCGCTGCAGGAGACTTCAGGTCCAGTAGAACCGCTGCAGGAGACTTCAGGTCCAGTAGAACCGCTGCAGGAGACTTCAGGTCCAGTAGAACCGCTGCAGGAGACTTCAGGTCCAGTAGAACCGCTGCAGGAGACTTCAGGTCCAGTAGAACCGCTGCAGGAGACTTCAGGTCCAGTAGAACCGCTGCAGGAGACTTCAGGTCCAGTAGAACCGCTGCAGGAGACTTCAGGTCCAGTAGAACCGCTGCAGGAGACTTCAGGTCCAGTAGAACCGCTGCAGGAGACTTCAGGTCCAGTAGAACCGCTGCAGGAGACTTCAGGTCCAGTAGAACCGCTGCAGGAGACTTCAGGTCCAGTAGAACCGCTGCAGGAGACTTCAGGTCCAGTAGAACCGCTGCAGGAGACTTCAGGTCCAGTAGAACCGCTGCAGGAGACTTCAGGTCCAGTAGAACCGCTGCAGGAGACTTCAGGTCCAGTAGAACCGCTGCAGGAGACTTCAGGTCCAGTAGAACCGCTGCAGGAGACTTCAGGTCCAGTAGAACCGCTGCAGGAGACTTCAGGTCCAGTAGAACCGCTGCAGGAGACTTCAGGTCCAGTAGAACCGCTGCAGGAGACTTCAGGTCCAGTAGAACCGCTGCAGGAGACTTCAGGTCCAGTAGAACCGCTGCAGGAGACTTCAGGTCCAGTAGAACCACTGCAGGAGACTTTAGCTCCAGTAGAACCACTGCAGGAGACTTCAGGTCCAGTAGAACCGCTGCAGGAGACTTCAGGTCCAGTAGAACCACTGCAGGAGACTTCAGGTCCAGTAGAACCGCTGCAGGGGCTACAGAGAGGGCGCTAGGACTGACCCGGCTCTGTCAGGAGACTGAAACACACGTGAGTCACTTTTACTACTTTATTATGTGTTCTGTCTTGTAGTTTAATCATTCAAATGAAACGAGTCATTTCTAGAGGTTAGAAATGTATATATTATACAAATGTTTGAGTTTGAAAACAGCGTTTGATTGTACCTTTGTGTTAAAAGTGATGAATGAGCTATCCCTGTTAGCCTTAGCCTGGTAGCCTGTTAGCTTGTTAGCCTGGCCTTAGCCTGTTAGCCTGCCCTGTTAGCCTGGCCTTAGCCTGTTAGCCTGTTAGCCTTAGCCTGTTAGTCTGTTAGCCTTAGCCTGTTAGCCTGCCCTGTTAGCCTGGCCTTAGCCTGTTAGCCTGTTAGCCTTAGCCTGTTAGTCTGTTAGCCTTAGCCTGTTCGCCTGCCCTGTTAGCCTGGCCTTAGCCTGTTAGCCTGTTAGCCTTAGCCTGTTAGTCTGTTAGCCTTAGCCTGTTCGCCTGCCCTGTTAGCCTGGCCTTAGCCTGTTAGCCTTAGCCTGTTAGCCTGCCCTGTTAGCCTGGCCTTAGCCTGTTAGCCTGTTAGCCTTAGCCTGTTAGCCTTAGCCTGTTAGCCTGCCCTGTTAGCCTGGCCTTAGCCTGTTAGCCTTAGCCTGTTAGCCTGCCATGTTAGCCTGGCCTTAGCCATGTGTAAACTCCTGTCAATTCTTATTTTGCTACATGTACAAAATGTAATGAGTACTATATGGTAAGACCAGGTTAAACCCGTTACTCCCTGTTTAGTGACTGTGCATGGATCCAGTCTGTCTGATGTGAGACCTGCCTCTGAGATGTGAGACCTGCCTCTGAGATGTGAGACCTGCTTCTGAGATGTGAGACCTGCTTCTGAGATGTGAGACCTGCTTCTGAGATGTGAGACCTGCCTCTGAGATGCGAGACCTGCCTCTGTGAGATGTGAGACCTGCCTCTGTGAGATGTGAGACCTGCCTCTGAGATGTGAGACCTGCCTCTGAGATGTGAGACCTGCCTCTGAGATGTGAGACCTGCCTCTGAGATGTGAGACCTGCCTCTGAGATGTGAGACCTGCCTCTGAGATGTGAGACCTGCCTCTGAGATGTGAGACCTGCCTCTGAGATGTGAGACCTGCCTCTGAGATGTCAGACCTGCCTCTGAGATGTGTGACCTGCCTCTGAGATGTGAGACCTGCCTCTGAGATGTGAGACCTGCCTCTGAGATGTGTGACCTGCCTCTGAGATGTGAGACCTGCCTCTGAGATGTGTGACCTGCCTCTGAGATGTGAGACCTGCCTCTGAGATGTGAGACCTGCCTCTGAGATGTGAGACCTGCCTCTGAGATGTGAGACCTGCCTCTGTGAGATGCGAGACCTGCCTCTGAGATGTGAGACCTGCCTCTGAGATGTGAGACCTGCTTCTGTGATGCGAGACCTGCCTCTGAGATGTGAGACCTGCCTCTGAGATGTGAGACCTGCTTCTGAGATGTGAGACCTGCCTCTGAGATGTGAGACCTGCCTCTGAGATGTGAGACCTGCCTCTGAGATGTGAGACCTGCCTCTGAGATGTGAGACCTGCCTCTGAGATGTGAGACCTGCCTCTGAGATGTGTGACCTGCCTCTGAGATGTGAGACCTGCCTCTGAGATGTGAGACCTGCCTCTGAGATGCGAGACCTGCCTCTGAGATGTGAGACCTGCCTCTGAGATGTGAGACCTGCCTCTGAGATGTGAGACCTGCTTCTGTGATGCGAGACCTGCCTCTGAGATGTGAGACCTGCCTCTGAGATGTGAGACCTGCTTCTGTGATGCGAGACCTGCCTCTGAGATGTGAGACCTGCCTCTGAGATGTCAGACCTGCTTCTGAGATGTGAGACCTGCCTCTGAGATGCGAGACCTGCCTCTGAGATGTGAGACCTGCCTCTGAGATGCGAGACCTGCCTCTGAGATGTGAGACCTGCCTCTGAGATGTGAGACCTGCCTCTGAGATGTGAGACCTGCCTCTGAGATGTGAGACCTGCCTCTGAGATGTGTGACCTGCCTCTGAGATGTGAGACCTGCCTCTGAGATGTGAGACCTGCCTCTGAGATGTGAGACCTGCCTCTGAGATGTGAGACCTGCTTCTGTGATGCGAGACCTGCCTCTGAGATGTGAGACCTGCCTCTGAGATGTGAGACCTGCTTCTGTGATGCGAGACCTGCCTCTGAGATGTGAGACCTGCCTCTGAGATGTGAGACCTGCTTCTGAGATGTGAGACCTGCCTCTGAGATGTGAGACCTGCCTCTGAGATGTGAGACCTGCCTCTGAGATGTGAGACCTGCCTCTGAGATGTGAGACCTGCTTCTGTGATGCGAGACCTGCCTCTGAGATGTGAGACCTGCCTCTGAGATGTGAGACCTGCTTCTGTGATGCGAGACCTGCCTCTGAGATGTGAGACCTGCCTCTGAGATGTGAGACCTGCTTCTGAGATGTGAGACCTGCCTCTGGGATGCGAGACCTGCCTCTGAGATGTGAGACCTGCCTCTGAGATGCGAGACCTGCCTCTGAGATGTGAGACCTGCCTCTGAGATGTGAGACCTGCCTCTGAGATGTGAGACCTGCCTCTGAGATGTGAGACCTGCCTCTGAGATGTGTGACCTGCCTCTGAGATGTGAGACCTGCCTCTGAGATGTGAGACCTGCCTCTGAGATGTGAGACCTGCCTCTGAGATGTGAGACCTGCTTCTGTGATGCGAGACCTGCCTCTGAGATGTGAGACCTGCCTCTGAGATGTGAGACCTGCTTCTGTGATGCGAGACCTGCCTCTGAGATGTGAGACCTGCCTCTGAGATGTGAGACCTGCCTCTGTGATGTGAGACCTGCCTCTGAGATGTGCGACCTGCCTCTGAGATGTGAGACCTGCTTCTGAGATGTGAGACCTGCTTCTGAGATGTGAGACCTGCCTCTGAGATGCGAGACCTGCCTCTGAGATGTGAGACCTGCCTCTGAGATGCGAGACCTGCCTCTGAGATGTGAGACCTGCCTCTGAGATGTGAGACCTGCCTCTGAGATGTGAGACCTGCCTCTGAGATGTGAGACCTGCCTCTGAGATGTGAGACCTGCCTCTGAGATGTGAGACCTGCCTCTGAGATGTGAGACCTGCCTCTGAGATGTGAGACCTGCTTCTGTGATGCGAGACCTGCCTCTGAGATGTGAGACCTGCCTCTGAGATGTGAGACCTGCTTCTGAGATGTGAGACCTGCCTCTGAGATGTGAGACCTGCTTCTGAGATGTGAGACCTGCCTCTGAGATGTGAGACCTGCCTCTGAGATGCGAGACCTGCCTCTGAGATGTGAGACCTGCTTCTGAGATGTGAGACCTGCCTCTGAGATGCGAGACCTGCCTCTGAGATGTGAGACCTGCCTCTGTGAGATGTGAGACCTGCCTCTGAGATGTGAGACCTGCTTCTGAGATGTGAGACCTGCCTCTGAGATGCGAGACCTGCCTCTGTGATGTGAGACCTGCCTCTGAGATGTGAGACCTGCTTCTGAGATGCGAGACCTGCCTCTGAGATGTGAGACCTGCCTCTGAGATGCGAGACCTGCCTCTGAGATGTGAGACCTGCTTCTGAGATGTGAGACCTGCCTCTGAGATGCGAGACCTGCCTCTGAGATGTGAGACCTGCCTCTGTGAGATGTGAGACCTGCCTCTGAGATGTGAGACCTGCCTCTGAGATGCGAGACCTGCCTCTGAGATGTGAGACCTGCTTCTGAGATGCGAGACCTGCCTCTGAGATGTGAGACCTGCTTCTGTGATGCGAGACCTGCCTCTGAGATGTGAGACCTGCCTCTGAGATGTGAGACCTGCTTCTGTGATGCGAGACCTGCCTCTGAGATGTGAGACCTGCCTCTGAGATGTGAGACCTGCTTCTGAGATGTGAGACCTGCCTCTGGGATGCGAGACCTGCCTCTGAGATGTGAGACCTGCCTCTGAGATGCGAGACCTGCCTCTGAGATGTGAGACCTGCCTCTGAGATGTGAGACCTGCCTCTGAGATGTGAGACCTGCCTCTGAGATGTGTGACCTGCCTCTGAGATGTGAGACCTGCCTCTGAGATGTGAGACCTGCCTCTGAGATGTGAGACCTGCCTCTGAGATGTGAGACCTGCTTCTGTGATGCGAGACCTGCCTCTGAGATGTGAGACCTGCCTCTGAGATGTGAGACCTGCTTCTGTGATGCGAGACCTGCCTCTGAGATGTGAGACCTGCCTCTGAGATGTGAGACCTGCCTCTGTGATGTGAGACCTGCCTCTGAGATGTGCGACCTGCCTCTGAGATGTGAGACCTGCTTCTGAGATGTGAGACCTGCTTCTGAGATGTGAGACCTGCCTCTGAGATGCGAGACCTGCCTCTGAGATGTGAGACCTGCCTCTGAGATGCGAGACCTGCCTCTGAGATGTGAGACCTGCCTCTGAGATGTGAGACCTGCCTCTGAGATGTGAGACCTGCCTCTGAGATGTGAGACCTGCCTCTGAGATGTGAGACCTGCCTCTGAGATGTGAGACCTGCCTCTGAGATGTGAGACCTGCCTCTGAGATGTGAGACCTGCTTCTGTGATGCGAGACCTGCCTCTGAGATGTGAGACCTGCCTCTGAGATGTGAGACCTGCTTCTGAGATGTGAGACCTGCCTCTGAGATGTGAGACCTGCTTCTGAGATGTGAGACCTGCCTCTGAGATGTGAGACCTGCCTCTGAGATGCGAGACCTGCCTCTGAGATGTGAGACCTGCTTCTGAGATGTGAGACCTGCCTCTGAGATGCGAGACCTGCCTCTGAGATGTGAGACCTGCCTCTGTGAGATGTGAGACCTGCCTCTGAGATGTGAGACCTGCTTCTGAGATGTGAGACCTGCCTCTGAGATGCGAGACCTGCCTCTGTGATGTGAGACCTGCCTCTGAGATGTGAGACCTGCTTCTGAGATGCGAGACCTGCCTCTGAGATGTGAGACCTGCCTCTGAGATGCGAGACCTGCCTCTGAGATGTGAGACCTGCTTCTGAGATGTGAGACCTGCCTCTGAGATGCGAGACCTGCCTCTGAGATGTGAGACCTGCCTCTGTGAGATGTGAGACCTGCCTCTGAGATGTGAGACCTGCCTCTGAGATGCGAGACCTGCCTCTGAGATGTGAGACCTGCTTCTGAGATGCGAGACCTGCCTCTGAGATGTGAGACCTGCCTCTGAGATGCGAGACCTGCCTCTGTGAGATGTGAGACCTGCCTCTGAGATGTGAGACCTGCCTCTGAGATGTGAGACCTGCCTCTGAGATGTGAGACCTGCTTCTGAGATGTGAGACCTGCCTCTGAGATGCGAGACCTTTCTCTGAGATGTGAGACCTGCCTCTGAGATGCGAGACCTGCCTCTGAGATGTGAGACCTGCCTCTGAGATGTGAGACCTGCCTCTGAGATGTGAGACCTGCCTCTGAGATGTGAGACCTGCCTCTGAGATGCGAGACCTGCCTCTGAGAATGTGAGACCTGCCTCTGAGATGCGAGACCTGCCTCTGAGATGCGAGACCTGCCTCTGAGATGTGAGACCTGCCTCTGAGATGTGAGACCTGCCTCTGAGATGTGAGACCTGCCTCTGAGATGTGAGACCTGCTTCTGAGATGTGAGACCTGCTTCTGAGATGCGAGACCTGCTTCTTGGCGTCTCACTGCTGTATTTAATACAGTATTTGTGCTGCTGTCGAGGTTTGAAATGAAGTTAGTGTCTATAGTCAGTCCGTTGTTGTTGACGTTTTTGTTGATTTAATGGCGGTTGTTTCTATTTATGTTCCCTTTGTAAGGCGTGTTTGTGTATTTGTGCCGATCTGCGTCAAGTCCATCTATAATAATAACGGGATAGTGTATTACTAGCTTATAGCTGTCCCACCCATGGCCACAGGGGGCGCTGTGATACTGCAAACTAAAATCATGTGGGCTACATGGAAAAAAGTCCCATAGAACTCAATGTAAACTAAAACAGCTCGACCTCAGCTGACAGAGAACCTGACAGAGAACCTGACAGAGAACCTGACAGAGAACCTGACAGAGAACTTGACAGAGAACCTGACAGAGAGGACCAGACGAAGTCCAAATATGGGCGAGTACCGCTTATCTCTCGGTCTTCCTGTATGTCCCATACTCTACTGAGCACACGCCATTCTTTTGAATAGGACGCCATCTTGGTTCACCGGGGCTTGGTCAAGTTGCGATCTAAACTCCTCACCGGGTCCTTTTCCGGGTCTGAGTTTGTCTCTTCTCTATCTGAGGAAGCATCAGCTCAAACATGTGGCAAAAGGTGTAAGACTTCTTCTTGTAACTCTCTTTGCTCTTCATCTGTTTAATATTTGCTTCATAGACGAGGTTTTTTCGCATGTTTCTCGTTCGCTGTCGGAATCACTGTCCATTTAGAACGAGTCAATACCCGCTGTGACGTCACACTTCTGGGTCTGAGGCTGAGACAACGCAAATGTATTAAAAACTAAAATTTACTGGAATCTATTTCAGATTGGCATTAACTTATTATCTGTCTTTATATTCACAAATGATTGGACAAACCCTGCATAAGGCCTTTACATTAAGGCACTGACAGTGTCAGTAACAGTGGCAGTAACAGTGGCAGTAACAGTGGCAGTAACAGTGGCAGTAACAGTGGCAGTAACAGTGGCAGTAACAGTGGCAATAACAGTGGCAGTAACAGTGGCAGTAACAGTGGCAGTAACAGTGGCAGTAACAGTGGCAATAACAGTGGCAGTAACAGTGGCAATAACAGTGGCAGTAACAGTGGCAATAACAGTGGCAGTAACAGTGGCAGTAACAGTGGCAGTAACAGTGGCAGTAACAGTGGCAGTAACAGTGGCAATAACAGTGTCAGTAACAGTGTCAGTAACAGTGGCAGTAACAGTGGCAGTAACAGTGGCAGTAACAGTGGCAATAACAGTGTCAGTAACAGTGGCAGTAACAGTGGCAGTAACAGTGGCAATAACAGTGGCAGTAACAGTGGCAATAACAGTGGCAGTAACAGTGGCAATAACAGTGGCAGTAACAGTGGCAGTAACAGTGGCAGTAACAGTGGCAGTAACAGTGGCAGTAACAGTGGCAATAACAGTGGCAGTAACAGTGGCAGTAACAGTGGCAGTAACAGTGGCAGTAACAGTGGCAGTAACAGTGGCAGTAACAGTGGCAATAACAGTGGCAGTAACAGTGGCAGTAACAGTGGCAGTAACAGTGGCAGTAACAGTGGCAGTAACAGTGGCAATAACAGTGGCAATAACAGTGGCAGTAACAGTGGCAGTAACAGTGGCAATAACAGTGGCAGTAACAGTGGCAGTAACAGTGGCAATAACAGTGGCAGTAACAGTGGCAGTAACAGTGGCAGTAACAGTGGCAGTAACAGTGGCAGTAACAGTGGCAGTAACAGTGGCAGTGGCAGTAACAGTGGCAGTAACAGTGGCAGTAACAGTGGCAGTAACAGTGGCAGTAACAGTAACAGTGGCAGTAACAGTGGCAGTGGCAGTAACAGTGGCAGTAACAGTGGCAGTAACAGTGGCAGTAACAGTGGCAGTAACAGTAACAGTGGCAGTAACAGTGTCAGTAACAGTGGCAGTAACAGTGGCAGTAACAGTGGCAGTAACAGTAACAGTGGCAGTAACAGTGTCAGTAACAGTGGCAGTAACAGTGGCAGTAACAGTGGCGGCAGAGAAGAGAAAGAGAAATAATCTGTATTTGTACACATATATAAAATATAGAAATGATATTATATATAGATATCCACAATATCCATATTTATATTCCCCTTTACCATCATGTGTCTCTGATGTCGACCTCTGAAACCTGTGGTGATAAAACATATAGCTTTACACTTTATGCTGTCTATCATACCATGAAACCATCTTACCATGACACCATCGTACCATGACACCATCGTACCATGACACCATCGTACCATGACACCATCGTACCATGACACAAATATCCAAACCATATACTCCTGGTCGGTCCGTGTACGTCGCGGCCATTCTATTTTTGATTAGGAAAGAAAATACAAAAAACGAATATTGGCCGTTTCCCGTTTTCCGTTTTCAAAATAAAATGTAGAAAACGAGAATTTAATCCGTTTTTCGATTTTGTGTTTTAAAATTAAAAAACGGATAACGAAAAACAGGTCATAATCCGTTTTTCCATTACACATTTACACAAGAAACACCAACATCGAAAAACCACGGCAAAAATTTGATTTTCCATTCTTGATCTTATTTTGAAGCTGACCCGGAATCTGTTAACCATGCCTACCACTATGCCACTAAGCGGCCGAAGTCACTCTACTTTGTGAGAAGACGTCAGCTGTTACAGTGGCTAACTAATTTGTCTTTTTTTCTACTTTAATAAGTTTTCAAATGGCCTTAAATAGTTTCGCCGACTTTATTATAGAGAGAAGGATGAGTGGTATGGCTTGTGGTGAGATCGCCAACGCGCTAACTGCACAGTTTGGTCCAACTGTGGGTTTCTCAGAGCGAAATGTGAGAAGATGGTTAGCCACTGTAACAGCTGACGTCTTCTCACAAAGTAGAGTGACTTCGGCCGCTTAGTGGCATAGTGGTAGGCATGGTTAACAGATTCCGGGTCAGCTTCAAAATAAGATCAAGAATGGAAAATCAAATTTTTGCCGTGGTTTTTCGATGTTGGTGTTTCTTGTGTAAATGTGTAATGGAAAAACGGATTATGACCTGTTTTTCGTTATCCGTTTTTTAATTTTAAAACACAAAATCGAAAAACGGATTAAATTCTCGTTTTCTACATTTTATTTTGAAAACGGAAAACGGGAAACGGCCAATATTCGTTTTTTGTATTTTCTTTCCTAATCAAAAATAGAATGGCCGCGACGTACACGGACCCTGGTCCCTCTGTTCCCTCACCAGCCTCGGCCTACTCTGTGGTACTCTGTGGGGCTCTGTGGTACTCTGTGGTACTCTGTGGGGCTCTGTGGTACTCTGTGGTACTCTGTGGGGCTCTGTGGGGCTCTGTGGGGCTCTGTGGGGCTCTGTGGGACTCTGTGGTGCTCTGTGGGGCTCTGTGGTGCTCTGTGGGGCTCTGTGGGGCTCTGTATTGTTCTGTGGGGCTCTGTGGTGCTCTGTGCTGTTCTGTGGTACTCTGTGGGGCTCTGTGTCGCTCTGTGGTGCTCTGTGTTGTTCTGTGGTGCTCTGTGGTACTCTGTGGGGCTCTGTGGGGCTCTGTGGGGCTCTGTGGGGAGTTGGCCGTGGATGCAGCAGCAGATGTAGGGGTCGCGGCCGCACACGGAGTCACTGCCCAAACAGCTGTGGCTCTGGAGGGTTCCGGCCCAACCACCGATGATGGATGACGGGCCCAGAGATGCCACCTTAAAGCAGCCCACACAACTTCTGCACCGGCATCACAGAGACGCTCCGGCAGATGCTGAAGTGGCTCAAACAGATGGGCCGAGCGTGGAGTTAAGGAAGTTAAGTTGAAGCCTGGTTTTAGTTTGTCGGGAGAATAAAGTTAGAGTGTTTTGTAATCGAAGATGCGACGAAGTACTGGGTCCATGTGTTAGCAGCTGCAGCTTCAGTCAAAGCAGAATATGAGCCACTTCTTTCTGTCGGTCCCAGTACAGTTGGATTCAGGACTGACCAGTGACTGCTGTTGAAATCATCCCTCATTAAAAACAGATAATTAAAGCTGGACTGAGCGGACTGCCCTCTCCAGACATTGACTTGTAGATTTTGAAGACTCTGTCTGAATGTAAAACTCAGCATTTACCCATAAAAGGATCAGAACAGATTGTGAATTAGTTATAAGATGTCTGTAGAAAGGCAGTGTGTGAACTTCTTAATAGTGAAATTTATGCAGCTAAGAAAATGAAGATAGAATTTGTAATGGTTCTGTCATGATTTACTCCAGTTTCAATTAAAGTGTGGATGGTGTTGGTTCTCCCTCAGCCTCGTGGTGAAGAGGCACAAAGAGCAGCGTGGGGAAATCTCCTCATTCTTTATCTGCTGCTGAATATTCAGCTGAAGCGCCCGAAGCTGCTCGCTGTAAGGTCCTCTGCAAGACGACTCTGAGATCAGTCTGAGTGGACAGAGCTCTCACTGCCCAACGACACCCGCCACAGACGTGTCCAGAGTTTATCACCAAGCAAATAAAATAATAATTATTCTAAACTTATGTAACACTCAGAAGCCATTCAAACGAGGAATCCCATGTATATACACATGCGGACACGTGCGTGTGTAGATGGCCACAGAGTCTCTGGGAATTCAAGTTAAGAAAGAAAACACGCGTGACTGCGGGGCGCTTGTTGTTGTCCGAAGTCGGACGGGAATCTGCCTCCTGCAGCGTTCTGACCCGGGGCAGCTGCGGCTGCTCTGGACAGTGGTTCCCACCTCCAGCGGCTGTGAGCCACTTTGACATCAACCCGGCGAATGGCGCCGCCGGAATAATACCATATAAATAACCTTTAAAAAACGTGTAAAAAAGCTTTTTAGTTGTGGTCCAGGCTTGGATTAGCAAAATTAAAGATTAGAGTCTCGCTAAAACATTGAGAGTAGCGTCCCTCGACCTCCTACAAGCCACCAGCAGGAGGCGCAATGATGAATAGGATCCAAAAAGAAAAAATACTGTCTACTACAGAAAGAATGTTAATTAAAGCTGCAAGCTGCGTCGCATGGCCCTCTCCGCACTGCGCAAAGGAAGTGTACTTGTACTTTGTTCTCGCAGCCGTAGAACAATGACTATAACTTTAATGAATATGAACAGTTGGTTTGTCTCTATACGAACTTCGTGGACATTCGTCCGTAAGACATTTGAAGTCACTCCTTTAATGGACCTCAATCATTACACTGTGTTTTGTAGTAAACTTCAGAATCCTCAAAACAATTTCTATCCTGTCAAAATGTCGTCAAAACTAATTGAAAAACAAAGTGTGGGCAAAGTGCTGGAATTTTAATAAATCCCTTTGTTTAATTATTGCAGCTTTTGACAATTAGACCTGAAGCAGAGTTTTATTTTGGCAGCCATATTGTTCTTCATACTTCCCTTCGTCAGGACTCTCACCTGCAAATAAAAGATGACTTAGTGTTTGTAAATCCACCATCGATCCACGAGACTTTCCAAAAACCCTCCTTAAGGATTCACAGCACTAATAAAGCTAACCTGGCACACCTTTTGTTAGCAACACACTCAGAGCAGTTAGCGGCTAATGATTTACTGAATCTTCACGTTGTTTATGACTCTGAGCTCCTCTTGTTAAAAGCCAGACTTGGACGTGAATGGGAGTAATAAATTAGTTCCCAAATGCGGCGGTTGGAGTGTCTGCATACACGGCTGTAAACAATATCAAGATTTATTCCTCACTCAATATGTGTCGCATATGTTGAACTAGGGTCTGTACAGTGACATTAAGGCGTGTTACAAAAGTTCCATGTTGAATAGAGGGCTGTCTGACTCAGAACAAATGTAGTGTGTTACCCATAATCATTTAAACAGTTAGTCTGATGTTAAACGGTGCCAAACCCTCAGGACAGAACTAGAACTATCCATTATGATTCTAGTGCAAATTGGGAGAGTCTGTTTCAATCCTTTCAATGCAATTTCCCTCGAGGATCAATGAAGTCTGAGTCTGAGTCTGAGTCTGAGTCTGAGTCTGAGTCTGAGTCTGAGCCTGAGCCTGAGCCTGAGTCTGAGTCTGAGTCTGAGTCTGAGTCTGAGCCTGAGCCTGAGCCTGAGTCTGAGCCTGAGCCTGAGCCTGAGTCTGAGTCACTTCATGTGTGATTGTATCAGGTTTGACTAGGGCTGGGATAAACGATTATTTTTTAAACGATTAATCTAGCGATTATTTTTTCGATGCATTGATTAATCTAACGATTATTTTTTCCGCTTCGCTTCGATTCGATTTGATTCTCGATTATCTCCCCATTAATTGACTAATATTGATGTATACATGTTGATTTAAATAATTTAATGTAAAAAACATGAATTCCTTCACAAAAAATATGTATTGCTTGCTCTTAAAATTCAAAAATAAGACATTCTTAGAGGTAGCATAAAACCTTAAAGCCTTGAAAACACAGCTTACTGAAAAAAGTGCATCTTATCATTCTTGAAACAAACATTTGATGCTTAGCATTCAATAAAAATATGAAAAAGTTCAGCCAAATACTTGTGTAGAGCAACTAAAAGAAAACAGTAACCAATGTAAACTTGAAGGCTTTAAGCTAAACAAAGAGTGCTTTTCCAGCAAAAACAGTGGGAGCCATCAGCCTGTCATGGCGTCCTTCCTGAACCAACAGAGTTTAACATTTAAGTTGAAGACACATAGGCCTATATTACTGAAGTCCATTAATTAAAGTGCATCTCTTAAATTCTTCATTCATATAAAAATAACAGTCAAAACTCTGCCACTCACCTTTTTCTTAAACTCAAAATTCAAAAATAAAATTCAAGTAAGAGTGTACAAGAGAAAAACAATGCATTGTGTAGCAAATAAAAAGGTCAACCAGTCATCCTTTCTTTTAGAGTTACTGAAAGAATACAGTAGAAGTCATCTCAGAGGACTTAAAACAACATTGAAGTCACCAACACAGATCAGAGAATCAATCAACAGTTAAACACATTAAGGATATTGAACACATGTTGAAAAATGTCCATATACGGCGGGCATGACAGTGAATAATACATGTAGGGGCTATTACGGGCGCCAATATTCCGTTTGATACAAAGAAAGACCGACTAGTGTAAGCTGCAGAGTGGCCACAGGACAAGTCATCAGCCTACGTCATCAGCCTACGTCATCAGCCTACGTCATCAGCCTACGTCAGCAGCCTACGTCATCAGCCTACGTCATCAGCCTACGTCAGCAGCCTACGTCAGCGGCCTACGTCATCAGCCTACGTCAGCAGCCTACGTCATCAGCCTACGTCAGCAGCCTACGTCAGCAGCCTACGTCATCAGCCTACGTCAGCAGCCTACGTCATCAGCCTACGTCAGCAGCCTACGTCATCAGCCTACGTCAGCAGCCTACGTCATCAGCCTACGTCAGCAGCCTACGTCATCAGCCTACGTCAGCAGCCTACGTCATCAGCCTACGTCAGCAGCCTACGTCATCAGCCTACGTCAGCAGCTGCGGACTGCTATGAAAACATTAGCTTTGTGGTTTCACAGGCGCAGTTGACTGCTTAAACTAAACTTTGTACGAAACTTTGACTCTTAAAACCCACATGTGACAAAACGGAACCATCAACATCTCGCCTCAAATTGCATTAAAAGTGACATTCGTGTCTGAATTCGTTCGTATTTTAACTTTTAAAGAAATTCACGGTCCGCCATCTTGGTTTGCTTCGGCTGCCGTGAGACGCGCATGCACAGGTTTGCATTACATCATAAACAGCTGAGGCTGTGCATCTCTTCAAGGCAGTGTATCTCAGCGTTACACCGGCTTGCACTTCTCTAACACGACACTCGCATTGCTACCGCTCGCCGCCATCTTTGTTTTGTGTGTGACGCACCGACGCGCATATTATACGTCGGTGTATTTTTTGCGTCGACGTCACCGATTACGTCGACGCGTTGTCCCAGCCCTAGTTTTGACGCTTTGTTATTAGCACGATCTGTAATCACCAAGAAACTCAGCTGATACTGGACTTATTACTATTGAATCATTTAAGAATATATACATCATATAAGAAACACAGCATTTACTTTGTGTGCTCCCTGTGTCTCCTACACTGTCCTGTCTGTGCGCTGCAACCCTGAAATGTCCCCACTCTGGGACTCTCCTCTCATAACCCTAACCCTGACCCAAAGAAGCATTAATCCTGGACTCTGGATAACTTGGTGATATCAGATCAGTCAAGTACAATGTGGGAACCCATGGTCCAGGACTATCTGGACGCATATAGATATGTGTGTGTGTGTGTGTGTGTGTGTGTGTATACAGTGTGAGAGTGTGTGTATACAGTGTGAGAGTATGTGTATACAGTGTGAGAGTGTGTGTATACAGTGTGAGAGTGTGTGTATACAGTGTGAGAGTGTGTGTATACAGTGTGAGAGTGTGTGTATACAGTGTGAGAGTGTGTGTATACAGTGTGTGAGTGTGTGTATACAGTGTGTGAGTGTGTGTATACAGTGTGTGAGTGTGTGTATACAGTGAGAGTGTGTGTATACAGTGTGTGAGAGTGTGTGTATACAGTGTGAGAGTGTGTGTATACAGTGTGTGTGTATACAGTGTGTGTGTGTGTGTATACAGTGTGTGAGTGTGTGTATACAGTGTGAGAGTGTGTGTATTCAGTGTGTGAGAGTGTGTGTATACAGTGTGTAAGAGTGTGTGTATACAGTGTGTGTGTGTGTGTGTGTATACAGTGTGTGTGTGTATACAGTGTGTGAGTGTGTGTATACAGTGTGTGAGTGTGTGTATACAGTGTGAGAGTGTGTATACAGTGTGAGAGTGTGTGTATACAGTGTGAGAGTGTGTGTATACAGTGTGAGAGTGTGTGTATACAGTGTGAGAGTGTGTGTATACAGTGTGAGAGTGTGTGTATACAGTGTGAGAGTGTGTGTATACAGTGTGAGAGTGTGTGTATACAGTGTGAGTGTGTGTGTATACAGTGTGAGAGTGTGTGTATACAGTGTGAGAGTGTGTGTATACAGTGTGAGAGTGTGTGTATACAGTGTGAGAGTGTGTGTATACAGTGTGAGAGTGTGTGTATACAGTGTGAGAGTGTGTGTATACAATGTGAGAGTGTGTGTATACAGTGTGTGAGAGTGTGTGTATACAGTGTGAGAGTGTGTGTATACAGTGTGAGAGTGTGTGTATACAGTGTGTGAGTGTGTGTATACAGTGTGAGAGTGTGTGTATACAGTGTGTGAGAGTGTGTGTATACAGTGTGAGAGTGTGTGTATACAGTGTGAGAGTGTGTGTATACAGTGTGTGAGAGTGTGTGTATACAGTGTGTGAGTGTGTGTATACAGTGTGTGTGAGTGTGTGTATACAGTGTGAGAGTGTGTGTATACAGTGTGTGAGAGTGTGTGTATACAGTGTGAGAGTGTGTGTATACAGTGTGAGAGTGTGTGTATACAATGTGAGAGTGTGTGTATACAGTGTGTGAGAGTGTGTGTATACAGTGTGAGAGTGTGTGTATACAGTGTGAGAGTGTGTGTATACAGTGTGTGAGTGTGTGTATACAGTGTGAGAGTGTGTGTATACAGTGTGTGAGAGTGTGTGTATACAGTGTGAGAGTGTGTGTATACAGTGTGAGAGTGTGTGTATACAGTGTGTGAGAGTGTGTGTATACAGTGTGTGAGTGTGTGTATACAGTGTGTGAGTGTGTGTATACAGTGTGAGAGTGTGTGTATACAGTGTGTGAGAGTGTGTGTATACAGTGAGAGGTTTTAGTACAGTGTGAGAGTGTGTGTATACAGTGTGAGTGTGTGTGTGTATACAGTGTGTGTGTGTGTGTGTACAGTGTGTGAGTGTGTGTATACAGTGTGAGAGTGTGTGTATACAGTGTGTGAGTGTGTGTATACAGTGTGAGTGGTCTTAGTACAGTGTGAGAGTGTGTGTATACAGTGTGTGAGTGTGTGTATACAGTGTGTGAGTGTGTGTATACAGTGTGAGAGTGTGTGTATACAGTGTGAGAGTGTGTGTATACAGTGTGAGAGTGTGTGAGTGTGTGTATACAGTGTGAGAGTGTGTGTGTATACAGTGTGTGAGTGTGTGTATACAGTGTGAGAGTGTGTGTGTATACAGTGTGTGAGTGTGTGTATACAGTGTGAGAGTGTGTGTATACAGTGTGTGAGTGTGTGTATACAGTGTGTGAGTGTGTGTGTGTACAGTGTGTGAGTGTGTGTATACAGTGTGAGAGTGTGTGTATACAGTGTGTGAGTGTGTGTATACAGTGTGAGAGTGTGTGTATACAGTGTGTGAGTGTGTGTATACAGTGTGAGTGTGTGTATACAGTGTGTGAGTGTGTGTATTAGGGATGTACCGATCCAGATTTGTTGTAATCCGATTCCGATATTCTAAATATTGTTTTGTCGATACCAATCCGATACAAATGTTTCTAATATTTTCAAAGCATTAAAGATTTTGCATTTTTACCTGAATAAATAAGTTTGTCGTGTCGCTAACACACGTTAGCAGCCCTTGTTTACAGTCACGGGGGAATGAGGCTCGAGGAATATGTTCACACAGTCTCCCCCATAGTTAGTCCTGGTGTAATCCTGGTTTAGTCCTGGTTTAGTCCTGGTTTAGTCCTGGTTTATCTCCTGTTTTGTGTCCCCATGACGGCTCTGTGCGGCCGCTCTCTGATGAAAAAGTTCATCTCTTGCTTTTGCCGCATGCCCCAGGTCTCTGTGTCCACTGCCTCTGCCACAGCGCACATGCTAAGCCTGGCACTGAAAAACAATCTATAGATCCATGTACACTACGCATTGTGCGGTTGTTTTTTTTTTTCATTTCCCAGAAAGTTTTGCGGTTGACGCTTGGCTGTGATAGGTCGAGAAGCCTCTGCCTACATCCCCCAGAATGCCGCGCGCCTCTGACTCGGCTTTACTTCCTGTGTTTTCGTCCTATTTTTTCTAACGGAGAGATGTTAAACTAACATTCTATCGACCCAGTTTTCTGTTGATATCGAACACGTGTCTATCACAGTATCTCTCGTTGTCGTTTTATCGCCCAGCGCTAGTTTTACATTGTATTTAGTTTACGGCAGCCGTAAAGCGTGAGGTGCTGAAAAGTGACGTAAATCTGCAAATATTTAACAAATCCGATATTATCCGATCCTTACAAAATACCCATATCGGCCACCGATACGGAATATTGGATGTGTGTGTGTGTGTGTGTGTGAGTGTGTGTATATTGTGTGTGTACAGTGTGTGAGTGTGTGTATATTGTGTGTGTGGGGGGGGTTCTATCACAGCATGTGTCTAATATGAATGTCTTCATTGTATCTTTACTGCAGTACTGGACTTCCGAGTTAAGTCTTTTCCAATGGACTATGTCTGAACTATTGGCAATCTCCTCCTTTGTGGAGCCGGACTGGAAAATAAGTTTCTTCTTCCACTGTGTGCTGAATAATAGAATATCAGAACTCACCACAGAGCGTTGCTCTCCCCGTTGCACCAGATGATATCTTCTTCTATACACTGTATTCCCATGCTGTAAAATTCCATTAGGCTGCTAAAATGACTTGTCCTCCTGCTAGCAAAAGGTGGCATCCATTTGCAGATTCTATCATCGACCAGGCGCTAACCTCTGCTGCTTCCCTGAAAACACACACTGCAGACGCACACCGCAGACGCACACCTCAGACGCACACCTCAGACACACACCTCAGACACACACCTCAGACACACACCTCAGACACACACCTCAGACACACACTCCCTGCTGCCCTGTCCCTGCCCTGTCCAGAGCAGGCCCATAATGATGAGGTGCTTGTATGTTAAAGGATATTACAGGAGTTGTTTTAAATGACCACATGGCTGTAGAGGAGCAGTCTAATGGCTGGAGCACACCAGTAACCATTAGATACACGGGGAGCTGGTGGCTGCAGCAGTAATGACCTATGGAAGCTGTACGCGGCTGTGTAATTGGAGTCCGAGCTGGTCCCGGCACAGTCTGCTGCGGTCGTGAACCCTCCTCGGTACATCGCAGTGTGGCCTGGACACCTGCAGGTCTCCATTAGCTCTCGTCGTCTCTCCACAGGCCTGCACCGGCTGATGATACTGTTCTCCAGAACATTACTCTGTGATTCCAACATACACCTTAGAAGTACTTTGTACTGCATTAGCTCGGCAGCATCCAAATACTACTGCATTACCTCGGCAGCATCCAAATACTATCAAATACTACTGCATTACCTCGGCAGCATCCAAATACTATCAAATACTACTGCATTACCTCGGCAGCATCCAAATACTATCAAATACTACTGCATTAGCTCGGCAGCATCCAAATACTACTGCATTAGCTCGGCAGCATCCAAATACTATCAAATACTACTGCATTAGCTCGGCAGCATCCAAATACTATCAAATACTACTGCATTAGCTCGGCAGCATCCAAATACTATCAAATACTACTGCATTAGCTCGGCAGCATCCAAATACTATCAAATACTACTGCATTAGCTCGGCAGCATCCAAATACTATCAAATACTACTGCACAGAGCAGAAACGAAGTGATATTTTCATATTAAACCACTTAAATGTGGCCATATATTTATTTTTCCCCAAGTTTAATTTTTAGAGAATAGTCGACTTAAACCATCACGTTTTTCAGACTCATTTAAAAAAAATTATTTTTTGATGATTCCTTTTTTTAAATGAAGTGATTTCCTGATGTTGTTTATGTTCATCTTTTTCAGACTCAGGACATTTTATTTTCTCTGAGTCTCAGAATGATCCAATCAGAGGCTGAGCTGGGTTTAAAATGTCGCTAAAAATGTATTCGTCAAACTTTCCTTTTGATTTTATCCACACTTTCTCTTTGATCTGTCTGTGTTTGGAATCTTTGTTCTAATCTATGAAAGTACTTTTGGTTTTTGAGTTATAACCTTTTAAAGTCCAGATACTTTAATTGTTAAGGAGCTTAGCCATACAAGGGGAGCTCAGAGTAGAGCCCCTGGTCCTCCATGTTGAGAGGAGCCAGTTAATATTTGAAGAATGAATCTCATGTTATTCATTTTATTCTAGAGGCAACAAATATACAAAAATATACAAGAATATACTAGAATATACTAGAATAGACTGACCTATTCAGGGTAAATATATTAATATATAAATGTGTTGGATCCTTGTGTTTAACTGTGACTTTCAGAGACGTCTGTTCAGTTATGACTCTGTTCAGTTATGACTCTGTTCAGTTATGACTGTTCAGTTATGACTCTGTTCAGTTATGACTCTGTTCAGTTATGACTGTTCAGTTATGACTCTGTTCAGTTATGACTCTGTTCAGTTATAACTCTGTTCAGTTATGACTGTTCAGTTATGACTCTGTTCAGTTATGACTCTGTTCAGTTATGACTCTGTTCAGTTATGACTGTTCAGTTATGACTCTGTTCAGTTATGACTCTGTTCAGTTATGACTCTGTTCAGTTATGACTCTGTTCAGTTATGACTCTGTTCAGTTATGACTGTTCAGTTATGACTCTGTTCAGTTATGACTCTGTTCAGTTATGACTCTGTTCAGTTATAACTCTGTTCAGTTATGACTCTGTTCAGTTATGACTCTGTTCAGTTATGACTCTGTTCAGTTATGACTCTGTTCAGTTATGACTCTGTTCAGTTATAACTCTGTTCAGTTATGACTCTGTTCAGTTATGACTCTGTTCAGTTATGACTCTGTTCAGTTATAACTCTGTTCAGTTATGACTGTTCAGTTATGACTGTTCAGTTATGACTCTGTTCAGTTATGACTCTGTTCAGTTATGACTGTTCAGTTATGACTCTGTTCAGTTATGACTCTGTTCAGTTATGACTCTGTTCAGTTATGACTCTGTTCAGTTATGACTCTGTTCAGTTATAACTCTGTTCAGTTATGACTGTTCAGTTATGACTGTTCAGTTATGACTCTGTTCAGTTATGACTCTGTTCAGTTATGACTGTTCAGTTATGACTCTGTTCAGTTATGACTCTGTTCAGTTATGACTCTGTTCAGTTATGACTGTTCAGTTATGACTCTGTTCAGTTATGACTCTGTTCAGTTATGACTCTGTTCAGTTATGACTCTGTTCAGTTATGACTCTGTTCAGTTATAACTCTGTTCAGTTATGACTCTGTTCAGTTATGACTCTGTTCAGTTATGACTCTGTTCAGTTATGACTCTGTTCAGTTATGACTCTGTTCAGTTATGACTGTTCAGTTAAGACTCTGTTCAGTTATGACTGTTCAGTTATGACTCTGTTCAGTTATGACTCTGTTCAGTTATGACTCTGTTCAGTTATGACTCTGTTCAGTTATGACTCTGTTCAGTTATGACTCTGTTCAGTTATAACTCTGTTCAGTTATGACTCTGTTCAGTTATGACTCTGTTCAGTTATGACTCTGTTCAGTTATGACTCTGTTCAGTTATAACTCTGTTCAGTTATGACTGTTCAGTTATGACTGTTCAGTTATGACTCTGTTCAGTTATGACTCTGTTCAGTTATGACTGTTCAGTTAAGACTCTGTTCAGTTATGACTGTTCAGTTATGACTCTGTTCAGTTATGACTGTTCAGTTATGACTCTGTTCAGTTATGACTGTTCAGTTATGACTCTGTTCAGTTATGACTCTGTTCAGTTATGACTCTGTTCAGTTATGACTCTGTTCAGTTATGACTCTGCTCAGTTATGACTGTTCAGTTATGACTCTGTTCAGTTATGACTGTTCAGTTATGACTCTGTTCAGTTATGACTCTGTTCAGTTATGACTCTGTTCAGTTATGACTGTTCAGTTATGACTGTTCAGTTATGACTCTGTTCAGTTATGACTCTGTTCAGTTATGACTGTTCAGTTATGACTCTGTTCAGTTATGACTCTGTTCAGTTATGACTCTGTTCAGTTATGACTCTGTTCAGTTATGACTCTGCTCAGTTATGACTGTTCAGTTATGACTCTGTTCAGTTATGACTGTTCAGTTATGACTCTGTTCAGTTATAACTCTGTTCAGTTATGACTGTTCAGTTATGACTGTTCAGTTATGACTGTTCAGTTATGACTGTTCAGTTATGACTCTGTTCAGTTAAGACACTGTTCAGTTATGACTCTGTTCAGTTATGACTCTGTTCAGTTATGACTCTGTTCAGTTATGACTCTGTTCAGTTATGACTCTGTTCAGTTATGACTCTGTTCAGTTATAACTCTGTTCAGTTATGACTCTGTTCAGTTATAACTCTGTTCAGTTATGACTCTGCTCAGTTATGACTGTTCAGTTATGACTCTGTTCAGTTATGACTCTGTTCAGTTATGACTCTGTTCAGTTATAACTCTGTTCAGTTATGACTGTTCAGTTATGACTGTTCAGTTATGACTGTTCAGTTATGACTGTTCAGTTATGACTCTGTTCAGTTAAGACACTGTTCAGTTATGACTCTGTTCAGTTATGACTCTGTTCAGTTATGACTCTGTTCAGTTATGACTCTGTTCAGTTATGACTCTGTTCAGTTATGACTCTGTTCAGTTATGACTCTGTTCAGTTATGACTCTGTTCAGTTATAACTCTGTTCAGTTATGACTCTGTTCAGTTATGACTGTTCAGTTATGACTGTTCAGTTATGACTCTGTTCAGTTAAGACTCTGTTCAGTTATGACTCTGTTCAGTTATGACTGTTCAGTTAAGACTCTGTTCAGTTATGACTGTTCAGTTATGACTCTGTTCAGTTATGACTCTGTTCAGTTATGACTCTGTTCAGTTATGACTCTGTTCAGTTATGACTGTTCAGTTAAGACTCTGTTCAGTTATGACTGTTCAGTTATGACTCTGTTCAGTTATGACTCTGTTCAGTTATGACTCTGTTCAGTTATGACTCTGTTCAGTTATGACTCTGTTCAGTTATGACTCTGTTCAGTTATGACTCTGTTCAGTTATGACTCTGTTCAGTTATAACTCTGTTCAGTTATGACTCTGTTCAGTTATGACTCTGTTCAGTTATGACTCTGTTCAGTTATAACTCTGTTCAGTTATGACTCTGTTCAGTTATGACTCTGTTCAGTTATGACTCTGTTCAGTTATGACTCTGTTCAGTTATGACTCTGTTCAGTTATGACTCTGTTCAGTTAAGACTCTGTTCAGTTATGACTCTGTTCAGTTATGACTCTGTTCAGTTATGACTCTGTTCAGTTATAACTCTGTTCAGTTATGACTGTTCAGTTATGACTCTGTTCAGTTATGACTCTGTTCAGTTATGACTCTGTTCAGTTATGACTCTGTTCAGTTATGACTCTGTTCAGTTATGACTGTTCAGTTATGACTCTGTTCAGTTATGACTCTGTTCAGTTAAGACTGTTCAGTTAAGACTCTGTTCAGTTATGACTCTGTTCAGTTATGACTCTGTTCAGTTATGACTGTTCAGTTATGACTCTGTTCAGTTATGACTCTGTTCAGTTATGACTCTGTTCAGTTAAGACTCTGTTCAGTTATGACTCTGTTCAGTTATGACTCTGTTCAGTTATGACTCTGTTCAGTTATGACTCTGTTCAGTTATGACTGTTCAGTTAAGACTCTGTTCAGTTAAGACTCTGTTCAGTTATGACTCTGTTCAGTTATGACTCTGTTCAGTTATGACTCTGTTCAGTTATGACTCTGTTCAGTTATGACTCTGTTCAGTTATGACTCTGTTCAGTTATGACTCTGTTCAGTCATAACTCTGTTCAGTTATGACTCTGTTCAGTTATGACTGTTCAGTTATGACTCTGTTCAGTTATAACTCTGTTCAGTTATGACTGTTCAGTTATGACTGTTCAGTTATGACTCTGTTCAGTTATGACTCTGTTCAGTTATAACTCTGTTCAGTTATGACTCTGTTCAGTTATGACTCTGTTCAGTTATAACTCTGTTCAGTTATAACTCTGTTCAGTTATGACTCTGTTCAGTTATGACTGTTCAGTTATGACTCTGTTCAGTTAAGACACTGTTCAGTTATGACTCTGTTCAGTTATGACTCTGTTCAGTTAAGACTCTGTTCAGTTAAGACTCTGTTCAGTTATGACTCTGTTCAGTTATGACTCTGTTCAGTTATGACTCTGTTCAGTTATGACTCTGTTCAGTTATGACTCTGTTCAGTTATGACTCTGTTCAGTTATGACTGTTCAGTTAAGACTCTGTTCAGTTAAGACTCTGTTCAGTTATGACTCTGTTCAGTTATGACTCTGTTCAGTTATGACTCTGTTCAGTTATGACTCTGTTCAGTTATAACTCTGTTCAGTTATGACTGTTCAGTTATGACTCTGTTCAGTTATAACTCTGTTCAGTTATGACTCTGTTCAGTTATGACTCTGTTCAGTTATGACTCTGTTCAGTTATGACTGTTCAGTTATGACTCTGTTCAGTTAAGACTGTTCAGTTATGACTCTGTTCAGTTATGACTCTGTTCAGTTATGACTCTGTTCAGTTATGACTGTTCAGTTATGACTCTGTTCAGTTAAGACTGTTCAGTTATGACTCTGCTCAGTTAAGACTCTGTTCAGTTATGACTCTGTTCAGTTATGACTCTGTTCAGTTATGACTCTGTTCAGTTATGACTCTGTTCAGTTATGACTCTGTTCAGTTATGACTCTGTTCAGTTAAGACTCTGTTCAGTTATGACTCTGTTCAGTTATGACTCTGTTCAGTTATGACTGTTCAGTTATGACTCTGTTCAGTTATGACTCTGTTCAGTTATGACTCTGTTCAGTTATGACTCTGTTCAGTTATGACTGTTCAGTTATGACTGTTCAGTTATGACTCTGTTCAGTTATAACTCTGTTCAGTTATGACTGTTCAGTTATGACTGTTCAGTTATGACTCTGTTCAGTTATGACTCTGTTCAGTTATAACTCTGTTCAGTTATGACTCTGTTCAGTTATGACTCTGTTCAGTTATAACTCTGTTCAGTTATGACTCTGTTCAGTTATGACTCTGTTCAGTTATAACTCTGTTCAGTTATGACTCTGTTCAGTTATGACTGTTCAGTTATGACTGTTCAGTTATGACTCTGTTCAGTTATGACTCTGTTCAGTTATGACTCTGTTCAGTTATGACTCTGTTCAGTTATGACTGTTCAGTTATGACTCTGTTCAGTTATAACTCTGTTCAGTTATGACTCTGTTCAGTTATGACTGTTCAGTTATGACTCTGTTCAGTTATGACTCTGTTCAGTTATGACTGTTCAGTTATGACTCTGTTCAGTTAAGACTCTGTTCAGTTAAGACTCTGTTCAGTTATGACTGTTCAGTTATGACTGTTCAGTTATGACTCTGTTCAGTTATGACTCTGTTCAGTTAAGACTGTTCAGTTAAGACTCTGTTCAGTTAAGACTCTGTTCAGTTATGACTGTTCAGTTATGACTGTTCAGTTATGACTGTTCAGTTAAGACTCTGTTCAGTTAAGACTCTGTTCAGTTATGACTCTGTTCAGTTATGACTCTGCTCAGTTAAGACTCTGACCCTTGTGTGTAATCAGGCCTTTGTGATCATAATTACCATAATCTCCTCCTCTGTGAGACATCAGTCCTTTTAAAAACAATTAGGCTAATGTGATATTTATTGACAGCGTTCACTTCTCTCTGACCTTTGACACCTTCATTCACGTTTCACTGCCTCAAAAATCTAAAACTGCCCTTTCTCCAAATAATGTACTGTTCCTGCTCTGAAGCCTATAGCAGTGTTCCCCAACCTTTTCCAGTCTCCTGCACTGTTTTAATGATAAACTCTCACGATAAACTGAAACTGATGTTAGAATTCAACTCTGCAGACTTTAAAGAAAGAAAAGCAATTCTCATTGAAATTAATTATATGTAAAGAATCCAACCACCATTATTTGGACCAATTAGATGAGAATGGCACAGACTGGTCGCCTCGCTTATGTCAGTGTGCCCCAGGGCAGCTGTGGCTGCAGTAGCCTCTTTGCGAGTCTACTGTATAAAATGTATTTATTATTATTATTATTATCTTTACATGTCTACACTTATCAACATGGCCGCGGTGTGTCTCCATATGGGGCCGTACCAGGCTGGAGTGGTCAGGGGTGCTGCACTCCTGGTACGGCTGTGGGACCATGTGGGCTCTGACAGAGGAGGGAGCTGCAGGTTGGAGTGGTCAGTGCTGCACTCCTGGTACGGCTGTGGGACCATGTGGG